TAGATTTGTTTGTTCTTCTGGACCTCAAAAACAAAACAATAAAAACCTCAGCCCCAATGAGTCTGTAGTGACTCATAGTGACCCGACAAGACAAGGTAGAACTGCCCCTGTGAATTTCCAAGATGGCAACTGTTTACAGGAGTAGAAAGCCCTCTTTCTCCTTAGGAGTGGCTGATGGTTTAGAAATGCTGACCTTGCAGATCACAGACCAACTCATAACCACTATGCCACCAGGGTTCCTTCTCTTGGACATATACCTCGTTTGCCAATGAGTCCATTCTGGCTCCTAGTGATCCCATAAGGTATAGTAGAACTACCCCTTTGAGTTTCTCAGACTTTACATTTTTACAGGAGTAGATAGTCTCAGTTTTCTCCTACACGTCAGCTGGTGTGATCAAACCATTGACCTTGAGGTCAGCAGCCCAACATATAACCCTCCACACAACCAGGGCTCCTTAAGGAAGTCAAAACTCAAACTCACATCCATAGAGTTGAATCCAATCATAGTGACCCTATAAGGCAGGGTAAAAGCCCTGGAGATGTAGTGGGTTAAGCATTGGGTTGCCGATACAAGGTTAGCTGTTCAAAACCACCAGTCACTTTGCAAAAGAAAGATCAGACTTTCTAACTCATGCAAAGAGTTACAATGTAAGAAGCTAGGAATGGTTCTACCCAGCTCTACAGGGTCTTTATGAGTCAGCAATGACTCCATGACAGTGAGTTTGGTTTTATAGAGCAAGGTAGACATTCCCCTGTGGGTTTTCCAGACTATAACTCTTTACAGGAGTAGAAAGCATCATCTTTCTTCCACAGAGCAGGCTGGTGGTTTCAAACTGCTGATCTTGCTGTTAGCAGCCCAATGCATAACACACTATGCCATCAGAATTTCCTCTTGGCGGGGGAGTTGGAAGGGGTTGGGAATAGATGGTCAGCTAGAACTTCGAATTAGTACAAGCAGTGGCCTAGATTGACTCTCTCTAGTAACTAAGCTTCTGAAAGCTAGCAAATCAATGAGGTGGGGGGGTTAAGTAATTTTGAAATCAATGATAAATTTCCAGTCCTGTCCTGAAGATCGACCAAAAATAATGAAAGCCTCATAGTTTTAGATAACAGCCAATCAGCAAGCACTTCACTCCCCTGACCATACTTCTGAAAGGCAATGCACACCTTCCTTGCAGTAGTGATCTTGGGAGGACGGATGAAAATTCCTAGGTCCCTAAATATTCCTCCTTCTGAGC